CTTGGAGCAGTGGCTACTTCACAACACACACACAGGGACCATGAGGAACAAAAGCAGCCACCCAGAAGGAAGGACAGTTTCAGCACCAATTGAAAGATGATTTGAGCATCTACAGCAGAGTGATACACAGTTAAGATACAGTATTGTTAATAGTTAGGGTGAGCCCAAGTGCACATGGAGACCACAGGGGTGGCTGGGATCACGATTGAAGGCTAGGTTCACAGCTAGGCGATTTATCTCGTGGACCTAGTCACACAGAGATTTGCATTCAAGTCTATGGAAGCTGTTTACACCTTTGCGATTTGTTGCGCGGTAGAAATCACCAGTCGCACAAAACAGTGCAGGAGCTATTCTCGGGCGGTTGTTGCGACAACCGCAAAATTGGGCTAGGTTCAAACTAGGAGATTTAGCTGGTGAGCTGTTTTCACATGGTTGCCGCGCCTTTTTGTTTGCGTGATTTTAGTTCCTGTACCTTTTTTGCGCGATATCGCAGGGATAAATCACCTAGGTGTGAACCTAGCCTCACGCACACAAAAACACGCAACGACCGTGCGAAAACAGCTCACCAGCTCAATCGCCTAGGTGTGAACCTAGCATTAAATAAATCAGTTTTCATCTTAAGAAGGGACCCATGATACTGGATTTAAATTGGGTTAGGGTCAGGACTATCGCTTATTGGATTATGGGGATATCACCGAATTACTCACAGGCACGTGTTATAAAAATTGTTCCAGTTGTGGTATATTGTTTGCACAAATTGCACTTTATTAGTGTTTATATTCTATTCATTATTTATATGATTATTTTAGGTATTATTTAAAAGGTATTTATGTATATTTATTTAATGACATGGTGTTAATAAGGTTTTACTGAGGGCTGCACGTCATTGATGTAATTGTTATTTCTGTTAGTAAATTATTCACATTGGTGCAAGCAGTTTTTTAGTTAGTATCTGTGGAATTTAGTATTAGAGAGAGTAGCGCAATATGCATTTTTTTCATTTTATCCGCACATGGCTGTAGATGGCACAGGATACGTTAAATAGGGATCTCACGTGCCTAGCTGTGCAGTGTGGCAGGGATGTGAAGATGGAAAGAACTACTAATCCTTTAGAAGGTAAAACAGTTGGCAGGCTATATAACCAAATATGCATTAGAATACAGTGTCAATCCTCCTTCTGTAAAAATCAATACTAAATAATGGAGCAGAATGTGAGAATCTTTTTTGCCTTTTATAAGCTGATCACGTATTATATACAGTGAGGGAATTGCCCACACTTTTTAGCTGACAATACCATACAAGTTTCTCCTAATAAAACAATGCAGTCCTTTCAATTGTGTCAGCTCTTTTCTTTCTAAGCAGTCCAGGGAGCTCTATAACATCTCTAATAGGAAGGTAGGCAAGTGTGGATAAACATCACCATCTAGTGGCTAAGATGTTTTCAGCATGTGTAAGTCCAAAAACATTTTTTTGTATTTCTCTACCTTTGTTTTTCCTTGTAAAAATAATATGAATTTTGTAAATAAATATTAAACGGCGAATGTGAAATCTATGTAAGTCGCAGGTTGTGCAATGCAAAGTTATGAATTTCATAGTCATCAATTGCTTTGGATTACTTTTGTATCAAACACATAGACAACCATAAAATTCAGAATTATGCCGGTCTTCAAACATACTTCAATAAAATGAGGAATGGGACTTCACTGCAATATCCATGATAGCAAGGATAACTTGCCACAAACTTGTGGGAGGGTTAAATTCTTATTCTTTCTAACTTGCTGCACACATTCCTGGCAAGTTGTAGACTTGCAGAACACTTGCAGCACAAGTTCTAGTTGACACTTTTTGAATTTGTAGCAAATTTGCTTTGCAAGTCTACAGCAAGAGTCCTGCAGGTCTTAGTAAGAGCTCTGCAAGTGTACAGCACTTTTGCAAAGCACGTTGATCTGGAGACTTGCAGTGCAGACTTGCTGTAATTGTGCAACAAAATTGTGAAGCATGGCAAGTCTAGCAATAGTTTAGCAAGTCATTTTCAAACTTGCAGCTCAATTGCTTGCTATCTGGGATGTTTTGGCCTGGTCATGTTATTTGAGGCTCAACTTTTAAAAAAATCACAGAAGTTATGAGATTTTAGAACTAAGATGCCATAGGTATCATGTATCCAATTCAAGATGCAGATGCCTTTAAATGACTAAAAAAATGTAATTTTAAAAACAATTTTTAGTGATTTATAACCTTTTTTAGTAAATAGTGCATGGGCTGTATATGGTACAATGTATGTCTGAAGGGCTCAAGCATTGTGTGTGTGGAGAGGAAAGACTAAGAACAGGCAAGTTGATCATTTGCTGGAAGCGAGAAATATTTATATTCTAACTGCAGGCAACCACTGTGCTTTTGTACATTGTACTGCAGAGACAGAAAAGTGAAAGGCAATGCAATGCATCATTCATAGTACTGTGATGGCAGTAGCACTATGTAAAAATAAAGGGTTGGGAGACCAATACAGTATTTTCAGAATAGTTAGGGACAAAATAAAAAATAGGCCTGTGGAGAGACATATTTGCTCCAGTCTTCCTTAATCTATTGTAAATGTTTCCCTCTACTGGACAGATTTGGCTCTGCAACAGTATAAAATATCCCTCAACCAGCAGACATGCTTCCATTGCATGTAAAAATGCCTCAAATATTGTTGACAATAAAAACGAAAAATATTTGAAACAGAAAAATGCCACAAATATGATGCAGATTTTTTTTTCTTCTTTTTTTGCATTTTCTTTTTGCAAAGGTCATTCAATGTTATACAGAATTTAAAATAATGTACAAAGGTAAACAACATCTGTTGATAAGTTGCAGTCAGACTTTGGACTGGATTGACACCAATTAACATTATAGGCATCTATGTAATTTTCCCATTGTTTTATGCTTATTAGTGACCCGAGGCATAATTAATGTAAATATGTCATCACCTCTTTATGAACGTGCTAGCTGTCTGGCTGTTTTTCTGGCTATGATGCTAACTTGGAACAAGTATAGAGGCCACAAAAGACGGGAATGTTAGAAATCTCACCTGCATTCCCTACTCTGGGCCAGAGACTCAAAGTATAGAAGCAAGAGTCAGCATGACAGCCAGGCAACTAGAATGTTTCACTTATCAGAGTTTCCTTGAGGGCCAATCAGGCCTTTGTTGTCTATTGTGGTCACATTAGCATGCTGTATTTTGCACATTATAATGCATTGCATTAAAGCTTGACCCCAGGGTATTGAGTCAGGCTGGGTTCCTGCAATTTGCTGGAGCACACTCTCACAGCATTTTAAAGTGTATGTGAAGGTAAATCAAATAAAACAAAAAACAAACACCTAGTACCACCCCTATGTATATTGCTTTGCTTACAGAAATTTAAAAAAGTCTGCAATTACCTTTTTTTTACCCCCTTGTTAGCAGTCAAATGACTGCTTGGTCACCCCTTTGCCCCGTAGCATGGAAGGATGGGGGCAGAAACTGCAGAAGCGAAGCTGCTTGGCAGCCAGGAGCACTGTCAGTCAAACAGTAAGTGTTTTAAGTCAAACCATGGAAGGCTTGAAGGAGGAGAATGGCAGCCATAATTGCCAAGCAGGAATCCCTTTCACTTAAACTATGGGGGGCTGGGTGGGGAGCTGTAAATCTGACTTCGGGACCGCAGGCACAGTTCACATACACTTTAAGCACCCAACTTTCCCAGGAGGCAGAAGTGATGTCACCAGTGCCCTTATGGAGTAGGCAGAAGCCAGGTCCAAGATATGTTTCGTTTCAAGAAGCTTTATTTTTGGCAGCTTTTATTAGGTGATTTTTTTTCAGGGGGTGGAGGACTGTTAGCAAAGCAGTCCATGCAAGTTTGACTTTGCGGCAGCCCATTCATTAGGCTTCCAATGCATTACTAGGGACAAAAGAAAAAACCCACAGATCTGCACCCTTTTTTTCTTAACTTTAACACTGCATGAGGTGCATTGCAGTGCATGTGCATTGCCCCCCACTCTATTTATGTGTTGGGGCGTTATTTTAAATGAATGGTACCACAATGCACAGAAAAAGCTGCAATTTTTTGCTGTGCACTACAGAAAACAATAGTCTGAAGCCAGCCATGAGGTCTCATTCACACAGCAAAAATTTCCAGCTGCGCCAAGAATCCATCAGATTCCTGAGGCTGGATTCGCGGATAGATGCAGCCGTGGTTAGGGTCGGATGATCGATCATCTGTCCCTAACCACAGGTAATCCCTCCATGTGCGATTACATGCAAACACCGGCAGACAGACGTGGCCGCTATCAGGTTGTACAGTCTCAGCATCTGCAACTATCCACATATGAATACAGCCGCAGGAATCTGCTGGATTCTTGCCGCAGCTGGTAATTATGGCCGTGTAAATGAGACCCAATGCTGCTTGTCCAAGGAGGTGCCCTTTAGCCCTAAATGTATTATTTTTCTAAACCTAGTTAGAATAACTCAAAATGTCCATTGTTTCCAAAGCTCTAAACCCAATTTCACTTGAGGTGGATCAGACTCCGATAGATGCTTCACTTCACACCAACATACCAGGAAAAAGGCTATATAAAATACATTTCTAACTTATTAAGGTATAAAATATCTCAGTAACATTCACAAAGCCACATAAATGTCAAATATTTCATCTATTCTAGTCTACAGATAATCTGAAAAAAGTATTTCCAGGTTTTACTTACACATGTCCAAATGTTTTTGTATAATATAACATATTAAAATATTGCTTTGGAGCAGGTTATAGGGGATGTGTTTCTATAGTTTGAATATATTGCTTGTCTGCAATCTGGAGTACCTAACAGAAGCCATATTCACTGCTTTTTTCTGAAATGTAATTTTTATATTCTTTTATAAAATAACTTTTTTTCACTTCAAGATCTATAATTTATCACTGAAAAATAAAAGTTCTTTCGGCAAAACGATTTCCAAAATGAACATGGTCATTTGCGTAATAATCGGTTCTTACCTTGACAACAAGTTTGTTAGACATCTCGTCACACTGTCCAGACACGAGACCTGTAATGATCAGTCATGATATCAGCTGCAGTAGGCACATTCATATTCTATTACTCAGCAAAAACAAGGCGAGACAGGTAGGGAAACACCTCAGGGGTTAATCCTCACTCATTTACTGTCAGTGTGGTGTGCACACACAGGTGGCTGTGCTGGGAAGGGGAAAGTGTTACAATCCAAAGAAGAAAATAGTGCCTTAGAAATTTACTCTGGCCAAAATATTTTTTTAACCCTTGCGGTGGAGCTACCAAGGGTTAACTGCTCGTTTTTGTCTAGGTGCTAAAAAAAAAGAAAAGAAAAAAAAAACAGATTGTTCAGGTTTTTTGACAGCCAGCGGGGCCGACTAGCTAGATACTGAAGCTTGGCCCAGCGGGAGATTCCTCCATCCACACAGTTTAGCGTAGATGGAGGAATCTGTTGCACTTTTTCCATCTGACCATAGAAAATCTGCAGATAATCTATAGGTGTATGGCCAGCTTTAGACTGGTCCTTCCAGCCTCTCTAAATCATCATGTTCTATGTACAGACGTGAGGATGCTGAGTAACATTGCAATGCTACAGTGTAGGAGAAGAGAACTACAGAGACCGGAGAAGCAGGGAGTCGGCTTAGCTCTTCGGGTAAGTATAAGTTTTTTTTAGCATCTAGACAAAAATGAGCAGTTAACCCTTGGAGTGCAGGGGTAGCCCCACTGCAAGGGTTAATAAAAGTTATGCTTCTTTAAATGGCTACTCAGGGGATCACTCAACAGGAATGGTATACTATTTGGGGTGGCATTTATCAATTCTGTTGCACAGCAAGGCAGTTTTAAAATAAGGCCTCTTCAGACCTATGCATTGTGGTAACATGCACATATTACCACTATGCTGCTGTGTGTTGCAGTGCCATTTATTTAGAATAGCACCCAATGCACTAGTAAAGTAATTACTAGTGATTAGCCTTGGCTTGGTGTGAGCCACATCACCTGAGTTCGCCCAAACTCGTTGAAAACCTTTACTGCCACCCCTCCTCCCGCCCCAAGCAGATGCAGAGGGGTGCATTCCCCACCCCAAAGCCATACATCATAAAGGGGCGGGGAATGCCCTCGCTGCAACGGTCGTCACTCATTGGGCTGGGACGGGGGAGTGGCAATCACAGTTTTGAGCAGCCAAGGTAAACTGAGGTGCACTGGGTTTGCACTAGACATGTAGATTTTGTTTAGTTTCAAATGGTTATTCTTACGAATTTCGTTAAATTCGGACATTCGGATGCATCTGATTTTCCAAATTCGAACACATCAGTATGCGAACGAGTATGAATGTTACTTTAAAGAAAATTCGGATCTGTACGAACTTTGTTCAAAACAAAACTAAATGGAACATGTGACCCTTCTCTGACCAACCAGATTTTTTTGGGGCTGTTGGAGGTTGCATTACTGGCATAGTCATGTGACCTCTTGTTGTGGGTCTTTTTGAAATGAAAATTCGGATGGAATATGAAATCCGGATAACGAATCGAACCGAATTTCAGATCCGAAATCCAGGAAAAGGAAAGAAAAAAAATCAGAATCGATCCGAGACTAAACAAAATTAGTTTTTTTGCGGTGTTACATGTCTAGTTTGCACCAAGCCCTGGCTCATCACTAATAGTTACCAACAGACCTGCACTGCATTAAAAAATGTTAAGGTTTACTTTTTAATTTGCTGGCAGGCCATTCAAAATAAATCCGCTAACACAGAAATTACAACATATTAGTGACTTTGTAATAACGTACAACAATGGACTTCAAAGGCTTGAAGGGGAACTCAGGGCTTGCGCATACCAGTTATGGTGACTTGAGTTTTCCACACTGGATCAAATCCAGTCACCACAAGGGAACAACAAAAACAATTGTTGTCTGTGTGCCCCATTCACACCATAACACTGCGTTGCATGACGGAATAAATGTCAAAGTACTGCAGCGCTGAATACTGAAAAATGGCCTGGACAGGAAGGGGATTTAACACCGCGGACTTCAAGTGGTTAAAGCCTCTGGGGTAGGAGGGGGCGCAGTGGTGTGATCGCCCACACCAGAAAGCGTGGCATAACAATGCCCACGGTGCGATCACAAAAAATAGTGCAACGCACTGCACCGCAGGCATTGCTGTGCCACACATTGTGCGGACGATCGCATTGCGGGCCAGGGGGCATTGCAGCTGTGTCATTGACTTGAATGCACCACCATGCCCCCCGACGCCCCAGAACGCAGGAAGGCTGTAATTATGCGATTCAGTGCGTTTCAGCAACTAACAATGCTGGAACACACTGGATTAGGTGTGCACAAGCCCTTAAAGCGGACCTTTACCCATATCTTTAAAATAACAAACAAAAAGAGGAGAGTGCTGGAGAGGGGGTTAAGGTATGCAAAACTGCCTCTTCATCTTCCCATAGTATTAATGAGCATTAAACCCTTGCAGTGCAGGGAAGCCCTACTGCAAGGGTTTTTTTTTTTTTTCTGCCTTCCCAGTTCACAAAAGACAGCATTTATAAATCTGACACACACATTCAATATGATGTGCAAATTAATTTAGAGCGACCAACTGCTATGTAATGCAAGGGCCTATCTGACTGGGTGTAAACTGACTGTTAAGGGTGACCCCCACACCAGCCCTGCTGGAAACTCTAGCATAAATTATACAACTTGATGATAACATGTGGAGTTTGCTTAAAGAAGCTATTCATATGGTCCTTTGTGGTGTGTTCTCGCTAGTTGTAAATAAAATACAGGCACCTTTTCTTTCGGGCACACCACTGTACGATTGTACTGTACTGTACGATGTTGTGTGTTGGCAGTTACTGTACAGTGTGTCCGGGTGCCATTCACTAGGCATGGCAAAAGCACATAACGCAAGCGTTTTAACACATAGGTGTGTATGGACCCTTAAAGTGAAATTAAACCCTCAGATTTTTTAACATAAAACAATACTGTAATGTGTGCCTTACTGTAATCCATGGTTGTTTCCCTTCTCTTTGCTGCTCTTCCTTTTGAATCTGTATCTGTTCTCATGCTGGGCAGAACTTTTGTTTTGCAGCAGACTGCCTTGTCTCTGAAATGGATACATGGTGTCTGTGTGTAGGTTCGCAACCTGAGCCAGCACTACAGGAAGAGGCACTCAGGTGCAAACGGAAGTTCTCCCCCAGCATGAGAAGACATGAGGATTTAAAAAGGAAGAGCAGCAAAGAGAAGGGAAACAACCATGGATTACAGTAAGGCACACATTACAGTATTGGTTTATGTTAAAAAATCTGAGGGTTTAATGTCACTTTAAGCTTTGTAGTTAGAGCGATCGGTTTCAATAGGAGAAAGTAGTGGTGCACTGAATGAACCAGGAAGCTGTATGATGATCCCAATTTCATCTACCCACAAGGTTCATTTTAAGGTCATTTGGTTACCCTCTATGATTAGCGCGTGGTAAAGGTCTATTACACAATAGCATGGCTGTCTGAGTGGTTTTGGAAAACAATCAGAGACAGAAGTTCCTCAGCAATCTCAAAGATGAATAAAGTATTATAGGAAGCAAGAAGAGTGTGCATGTCAGACTCCTTTACCATATATTCATTGTGACTTTATATACTGGGCTCTTTTCGGCATCACATTTCAAAGTTAAAGAACTGTACGAAGTGCCTGTCACTGGTGAGGCCACTGTGTATGTTAATCGGCATACTGGAGGAGGATCTGTAAAAGAATATGAAAAAAAATATATATATATATATATGACTGTGCTTCTAAATGCTTCTTTACCAGTTATTATAATATTTATATATGTTATCAGATAGGTGAAATTATCTGCTAGTGCTCTTTATTAATAATAGATCTTATGCCACTTCCCAGTATTGCCAGCACCTTCTACAATAGAAAACTGAATACAAATAAAAATGATTAATTGTGCTTTTGAAAGTGTGAAACTGAATAATAGCCATACAGTAAACAATGTGTTATCTGCAGTCTACATTGCTGTTGGTGTTACTGGTATGTCAAGAATAAAGCAAGTTACGGCCTAAAGTAATTACAGTATACTAGGACTAAAGCAAATTTGTCAGCCATTCTAAATTATTAAACATAGACATCCAGGCTAAAAGCAAGTGCAACAAGGGTCCTGTTATCTAAAAAAGACTCAATTTCTGATCCTGGTTTCCCTTTCTTACAAAGGGCACATATGCCCCAAGTCATCAGATCTAAACACCACCCGCCACCCCGTGACAGCACCCCTGATTGTCTGAGTTGTTCTTGCTGGATGGAAGGAGCGCAGGTTGATAGAGAAGTCCCTCAAATTGATAAGTGTGACACACAACGAGCTCGAGCAGACCTTTAGCTTTTACAAGTTTAATATGGAGTCCATCTTTTAAAAGGGATAAGTATGAGAATTGCAAAACTGTTTGCGGAGGACCCCTTAAAGCAGTAATGGAGAGCATTACACTCAGCCAGCACCTCCCCGGTTTTCTCAGGTTAGGCAGAGGCAAATGAGTTGTACCTGCAGAGCCATATTCAGACAAGAAGTGCGGTATTGTGGCAAAGCCGGTGCATACAATGGCTTTCAATGGGAATAACTGTATTTAGCTGGCCACACTCCAATTTCTAGGTATTGGAAGCAACAGCGGAATGGGGACCCTTTGTTACTACATGGAAAGACCCAATTTAACTGAATTGTATTTTTATTTTAATCCACTTGTAGTAATAGATGTCACCACGCTATAGTAGAGGCTAATTTCTTTTGAAAGCCATCTCTGGAGCACATCTGATTTATTATCATACAGCATGTGATCTACTGATATTCTGTGCAACAGTACAAGGACTGACAAGACTGAGTCAGTCCATGCAGACAGGCAGCTGATCTCTACATGTCATTCAAACATACCACACCCAGGGATGACACAGATATTCCCACACTTGTTTGTCCCCTATTCACTCGAGGCAAGCATCACATCACATAATAATGTGGTAATGTTCCAATTCTGCTGGTTGTCATGAAATGCTGTGTCTATACAAACATTCCATAGACCACAGACAGAAAAAGACATCACTCTCTGAATCCTACGAGTTTTGCCTTATTATTTCTGCCTCTTCATCCAGGCTGTCTAAAAAACAGTTTCTGTATGTGAGGATTTAAAGTAGATGTGAACTTAAAAGTGAGATTTGATATCTTAGAGGGAACAACGTTAAGGGTAATTGTGCCTCAGCGGTACCCTAGAATCAACCTTTTTCCTTGAATAATGCCCGAAAAATAACAGTGCCCTCAGTGATATGAACAGTATCTAGGCACTTCTGTTCTATACCCTAATAGCTGTGTATTCCAAGTGTGAGATCATCTAAGGCAGTGGCTCCCAACCTGGGGTACAAGTACCCCCAGTGGTACAGTGCAGAACATTTTGGCATACTGGAAAACATTTTTGTAATGACCGAAAAAAAAAAAAAGTTGTGGCAGTGTGGAATTGGGGAGTAAATGTGTGCAGTAAGTCTGCAGAGTAATCCTGCAGCTGCAAATTGTAACATGCATTCAATAGTTCCAGCTGCCAACGCCTCAGTTAGTCCCCGGCTGAGTGATGTGCCCTTTGCTTCTCTTAGGTGCAAGAAGCCCTACAATCGAGAAATCCAGGGTAACAGACCGCACCCTAAAGAGACCCCAAGATAACACTAGACACACCACTGCAATATGACATATCCCAGAGAACCTACCACCCCAACCGCAAGTAAAAACAAGTTTGGGAATCACTGATCTAAGGCATTGCTGCCTCTGACTACTGGAGTGAGATTTGGTGATGATCACTAGGGATCACGGCACCATAAGAGATGAGTCACTGAACCTATAGAAACATGCTTCTTTCATCAAAGAAGCCAAGTGGGAGCATTTAAAAGGAGTCTATAGCACAACCTAATGAAAAACAATAGCACTGCACAATATTTAACTTAAACCTATGTTTGATAAGAAATTTTACTCTGGACCATAATAAAAAGGTTCATGTATAAAGCCACTATACAGTATACAGTACTAACCTTAAATTTAGAAAGTGTGTTATCTGTAGAATATGAATGGTACAACAAAAGTAAAAGTAAAGTAATATTTTTTCACATTTTAGGTAGTAGAGGTAATTATAAACACTTTCAGGTGAGCATGTGAATTGAGTGGCAAAGTATGGCAAAGTGAGTAGAATAAATCCTTGAAAGACCACAAAAGGGATGCACCACCCTAATACGGAAACAAGTTTATAGAAGAAATTGGCACCTCTTTCAGTTGAAATGATTAAATTAGATGAGGCCCCAAAGCACCAAGTTAATACCCCTGCTGTGTATTTAAAATCAAAAAATAAATAAAATTTTCTGTTAATGGACATTTGGAATCATGACCCACAAATTTTTTTTAGCAATCCCCTGACTGAGGCTTGTCAAGCAGTAAAATGAAAATTCACCTCTGCCCGATCCCCCCCGGGGAATGTGAAGTTTGTGCCACAATACCAGATTTTGTTAAAAGGTGGCACTGACTTTTGTAATTCTTCTGTCCTTACTTATTGCAGGAAGCAAAGAATTTGTCACAGGGATGAAGGCAGGTAAATAACTGCAGGTATGAGATGCCTGTTTATACCTTTCTACAAATAGCCAACTGCCAGGCCGTTATGACTTTTGAGTAGTGTTGGAGCTTGCCACAAAGCCTAATGCCTACACATTCCTATTGGTCCTATCACTATAATGGGCCGCTTCAATGGCCAATAGGAATATGCAGGAGGTGGGATCATACAGCAAACATTGGCAGCATCAGCAAGTGTCTCTCTAGTTGGCTGTGGCAGCAGGATTTTTGAGGCTGCTACAGGTATGTCTAGGCATCTCATACCTGCAACAAAATGAGTGTGATTTACAAAAATTAAACTACCATGTGGATCCCAACTACCCTCCAACCAATTCCACTGCTTGTAGATGACATGTAAGGCCAGTTCTGCACAAGTCTTCAGATATTTTCCCAAATTGACAAAAATTGCAAAAACAACAAAAAAAGGTCACAAAAAAAAATATATATATTTTTTTTAAATATGCGGTGTGTGTATATGCAGAATGTTTTTTACATTTTTAAACAAACAAAAAAAAAAATCTATTGAGTAACAAAACAATTGCTTAAAAGCCACATATGCTCCCTGGTTTTCTGGTTCCTGGGATGCCTACCAGTTCAGAGCAAATTCCCTGAAACCATTATGCTGTCCTTAAAAGATACCTTTTTGCACTTCACCACTGACCTAAACTCATCTCCCCTGATCTGCCAGAGATGACTGTGCCCTGCATCTTCCTCTTCCTGGCTGTGCCTGCGCAGTACAAACTCAGACATCTATGAGGCCACCTCAAGTGGCTCCTGTATTAAGGGACATCCCTATAGAAGTCTCTGCTCAGGTACAATAGAAAGAAGATTTCAGATGTGAATTCAGTTGTGTATTTACTGCAGCACTGTAAATAGGGGAGGAGCAGTACTTGTTAATGCATGTGCTGTCAAGAAACATGCTGCAGAAAGGAGGAGAGAGCAGAGAGATAACCTCATTAATCTGTTACTGTTCCTTTACTGTCCATTCACAGGCTAGGGGTGGGGAGGTAACCCAGGTGTGTGACTGCAGCAGAGAAAAAGATATGTCACCACCCTGGCTGTGCAGTCAGAAAGGACATAATGATTTTGGTAGGCAAGACAGTTCCCATGTATGCACTTTTAATAGTGAATTCAGCAGTTTGCATGGGGTTCAGTTTTCAGTACCGAAATGGCAGATGTAACCTGAGGATTTTTAAACAATTATTTTGATAAATTACAGTTTTTCTTTAGAGCCAGTGTCGACTGGCTTTTGATTGCTTTAGAGCTGCTTCTCGTCTCAACACAAAAGCATCTGCACCTGAAATAAATTTTGAACAACCTCAGAAGCATCTCAAACTGATGTCAAAAGCAAACTGTATTTGCCAGTTAAAGCCTGTCAACTCTGGCCCTAAATATCAAAAATATTGCAGGTGTACTATTCAAAAGGGAGGGGGTACAATCTATACACCGAACATCATCAACATTAATATTCCTTTCCATCACAATATTAGTAGTGCGCTTATCATTTTTTGGTTGGGTACAATCTATACACAACTTACAAAAACTTTAAAAAAAAAAAAAGGAAAAAAGTGATCTTTTACAGTGAACCTGTCAAAACAAATACCAGCCCAAATCCACTTTGGCAATTTGGGTGTTCCCACTCCTTCTGTTGCAGTCTATAAAACAAATTAAAAATCCAGGTACTCACACCTAAAAAAGACCTTGTCACCGATTTAAAAAAAACTGCAGGTGAAAAAGAAATCAATAATTTTAAATAATTATTTGCAGTGCTTCCCTTCCTCAATGTATTATTTTTAGTAATTTGCAATTTGCCTTTGAACTTGCAAGAAAATCTGACTGCTCTAGGAAGAGTCAATTCCCTGGCACAGCTCCCTCTCTCATGGCACGTCATAGCCCTCTCCTCTTCATGGAGTGTAGAATTACTGTCTTTGCTGACCCAGCACCCCTGCCCCTCACCTCCCTACATAGCCTCGTATGTAGTTGCTTGGGAAGGAGCGTAGTCAAATACTATATAGTGTCACTTGAGTAACAACTTAATCTGCTGGG